TGAGAGACAAAGAGGGAGTTAGAGAGAGATGGAGAGAGAGACAGAATGAGACAGAGAGAGAGAGAGAGAGAGAGAGAGAGAGAGAGAGAGAGGGAGGGGGAGGGAGGGAAAAGGAGGAGGGGGGAGAGAGAGAGAGAGAGAGAGAGAGAGAGAGAGAATTAGTTTACCCTATCTTCTCCAAAGAGGTTTCTATGTCCAACCATAAAAGAGATGGGGTCTCTTTAACCCATCCCTTTCCCCACAATCACTCGAGCTTCTCAAGGAGGAGCCCAAACTTCCTTTAACAGGATCCCAAATCCTTCCTGCCCTGCCCCCCTTCCCTTCATGATGCTTGTCTTCAAAGAAAAGTAGCACCTCTATATAACTCTCAATAAAGCCGGATTCAGGCTAGCACACGTGCTATTAGAGAACACCAGAATACACAAGGTCCTAATCCAAAGCCAGGGATGGGCAGACAGATGGATGGATGGACAAATAAATACCTAAAGGTAGAAACAGCAAAATTGAAGCTTCGGGGAGCCAAGAAAAGCCCTATGATTCTCAATTTATCCTTCTCAAATAAAAAGACCAACTCATATCCAAGGTCTGCCCACCTCTCCTGACAAGACTTCAGAGCACAACTGTCACCTAGAGGCCCTGGCATTCCCTGGGTGCTTCCCACAAGCACACTCCAAGCTGCCTTTCCAAATCCCACCCACTGCTCAGCTGAGTGGTGTGCCTGCAGCTTCCCCAACAGCATGAGCTCATCCTGCAAGGCGGTGGGGTGGATGTAGGGGAATGAGGACTGTCAAAGTTCCAGAGAGAGGCAGGGCTCAAAGAGAGTTCAAGAATGTCCACAAAAAGCCCCTTGTCCATCCTCAGGGCTGAGGGCTGGTCCCAGGGAGGCAGCATACACCCATAGGGGTGGGAAACAGCACTAGAAGACCTGTGAGGTGGAGGGAGAAGTACACCAGCCTGTACTAACCAAGAACCTCAAGTTTTCTGCACAAGATCCAGAGCTTTCCTTAGGCCTGCCTCCACCACCCCTCAGTTGCTTATTAACTCCATGCAGTCTGCCTCAAACCTACCAGTTGCACAGCTGGAGTCAGTGCAGATACGACTGGCAGGACACAGTGCTCCGCCTGGTAGCCATACTCCTGTCGGCCTGGGGGTGTGTCCCGTATATGAGTACATGTGGGGTTGAGTAAATCTGTGCCACTTCCTGTACCACATTGTATTCGGTGCCTTGCGTGCCTGTGCTGTGTTGTGTGTATGCTGTATCATATCCATACTATATTGTGTACATATCAAGTCTGTATCATGTATGCAGAGTTGTGTTTATGTCATGTGTATGTGTATCGTGTCAGAACCATATTGTGTATGTACTGTGGGTCTGTTTTATGCTGTATGTATATTACATCAATTCCATGTTGTGTGTGTGCCATGTGGCTAATCTATATTGTATGTTATATGTCTATGTCACATTGTGTGTCTGTATCAGGTCGTGTGTCTATACCGCCTTGTGTGTGCACTGTGGCTCAGCCTTCTCCTTGAGGCTGGGGTGGGGATTAGCTCACACATCTTGTGCTTACCAGCATTCCAGCCTTGCTGTATTCTAGCTTCCTGCCAGCATCTCTATATGGGGACTAGTACCACCACCTTGTCGGGAAGTGGGGGAAACTGCAGACAACCACCTACTCTACCATAGAGCCCTCCCATGGCAGGTGCCAGGCTCAGCACTGAAGATAGCTTGGAAAGAAATCCTGGAGCCCTTTTCAGGCTCAAAGAAGAAAACTGGGCACTGAGGGGCATGGCTCCCTCTCTCAACTTCCAGCATTGGGAGAAAGGCCTACAGAAAGCCACAGCTGCCTGAGTCTTTCCTTCGGGCCAGTTGGAAAGAGCCCTTCTCCACAGTGAGTAAGAGCTGCACAAGAGTTTAGCACTGGGCTGGGCTATGGAACTTATGGGAGCTCTGCCAAAAGTGTCTTGGTTGAGGTCACTAGAGGGCGTGATTGTGCTGATTGTCAGGGGTAGGTCTCTGAGTACTGTTGAATTCCAAAAAGTTTACCTGGCTCAGAGAGAGATGCAGGAGAAAGATGGAAGGGATACGATCCTCACCCCCAAGCCAGGCCCTTCCTTCACCCTCACCCCAAGTCTTTCTGCTTTAAGACTCACTTAGGGAGTTGGGGCCATTAGTGAATCTCTGCTCAACTCTCACCCCCAACCATATAAGATCTGTATAAGATCCCCAGAGAGCTTTTGTGGGGCTTGGTAATAGGGTACCTAGAAGATTCTCCACTTGGGCTTCTCTTTTCCCTACTGTTCCTCATTCACATGAAATAAAAGTCATACTGCTGAAAGTGATGAAATGTGTGTAGGGGTTATGAGTTTGTTACATACTGTTTTCCCCCAAACTGGAGTGCATGCCAAAAGGAGTATGATTTAGAAGGAGTAAATTTGGGGAAGAGAGCTGTCCTTTAGTGGACCTGTCTTTATTACCAGAAACAAATAGACCCACTTCCTAAAACGTCATGACCATCTTAGAAACCACCTCCTCCAACCCTATCATTTGAAAGATAAGAAAACTGAAGCCCAGAGAAGGGAAGAAATACTCAGACCAGAACACCTGACTTCTGATTCTCAGCACT